GGGGGGGTGGGGGGTGGGGGCAGTGGGAAGTGTGGTATGGGCGGGGCATAGCCAGCCGCACAGAAGGGTTCCCGCGTTTCCTTGAGGCCCTGTCCTCGTGGAAAGTAGCTACTATGTATCGAGACAGCACGTGCCCGAAAATGCAGGTGAAACCACTTATCGGCTGCGTGGCACCACCTGGATGACCGGGAATCCGCAAGCCAGCAACCGCGCCGATAGCACAGGGATTCGCTTACCTGTTACAAAACACCTCTACATTTCTCGAAATGATCCCCTTCAAACTCATGATCGAGCAGGCGACCTCCACCCCCACTGCTCCCTCCATCCGGCATTCATGGGACATCGAACCGAGTAGGGCATCATAATAAGAAGAAACGAAGTACCAATTATGAAAGAAGTAGTCAATATTGCATTTAGATGGAACCCAGTCGTATGCATTTCCCGCGCAGCATGCTTATGGACATGCGGGACTGCTGGCGCGTGCATGCGGCGGCGTCAAATCCACCCCAGCTCCAATAATGGGCACGTTGCACCGATTGACGTCATATCCTTCTCTCTATACAGAAATTTAGAGCTAAGATTGCGTATCAGGTTGAGACTTAGTTACTAGCACTACAACTTGATATGCTGTACCAGGTGTGGAAGGCCATTGATAGGGCGGCAGGCAAAATCCCACAGCTGCAGCTCCCAAATCTGCCATGTGGCTTAGCATGCGGCTTAGCAGTGAGTGTAAGAATGCATCCAAAAGCCCGATATATCTTTCTTCTGTTTAAATAGCTAAAACGGAGTGGAATACCAAAGCCTGTAACCATTTGTGCTAGCAGTCCTCAATGATATCTCTACTGGTGGGCATCCTCTTGTAGGCTGCTACCTCCTGGACTAACCAAGGAGCCAACGGGTCACGCGCAGACTCACAGCACACTGACCAACGCCCATGCTAGTTGTTAATCTATTGTCTATTGTTGTCCGTGCGAGTCACCACTGCACCTAAACACATCGAGCGGTAACCCAACGCTGCACAGGCAACCACGGGGAACCAGCGGTGCAACGGGCATTAGGTCGAATTTCTTCAGTACGAGATACTTTCAGCAACACAGAACTGGCTTACTAATGCAGGACGTTAACGTATCCGGCTTTGCGTACACACCAGATCCTCCACTTACAGCCAGTCGTTTCCAGCGGTAAATTTTGCAAAAGGCCATGGCAGAGATGCCGCCAAGTTCTAATCAAGACTCCAGCGGGGGACGACGCGGAACTAAACGGCAACGGAGGAGGTCCGATGGCTTGTCGCCACGTGAAGTGGCGCCACTAGCTCACCAGCCAGCCGCTGCTCTACAGACAGCAGTAACGACACTGTTGCCAGGAGTTCGCACCAGGCGTTTAGCGACAGCAGGACAAGATTACCTTCAGCATCGAGGACAGAATGAACAACTGCGTCGGTTTGAGCAGCGTGCAAGTACGCAACGACGTTCCGTTCGTCGGCACCTGCAACTGCGCCGTCACTCTCCGGACACTGCATCGGGTGCCAGCGAAACGCGCATTAACGCAGTGCCCAGTGCGCCTAACACACAAGAAGGGCATATGGCATATGTTCAGTTGCGGCAGGATGCTCCCGACAATGTGTACCACGACGGACAAAATACCAGGGCGCCGACTAGGCAACGACGTAGAGCTGCAGGTTCACGCGGTCCTTGTGAGTGTACAAGAACTTCATCTTGCCAGATGGAGCCAGTAGAGCAAGAGAAATCAGCTTGCATTCTTCCCAGCAACTCTAATATTTATAAAGGCCCCAGTTCGCCGGTGCTGGAGGGTAGCAGCATGCCCGCTTTTGAAAGGATATGGGTCGAAGAGGAGAAGGAGAGCAAGCAGCTATTGAATGCACTACATAGGGCCCGTTCTGCTCTGCTTGAACCACTTTTTGAGGTCGCTGCTCAGCATCAGGTAGACTGGAAGCCTTCAAGTAACGCCTGCTTAATGCGTACACTGGGGCTCTCTGACGCTTCCGAGGAACCAAGCGTTTGGCTAAGCCACGCCGACGGAAGCATATCATCGTTGAGGGTCTTCAGTGGTGCTGCTTATATCTCTCATAAGCAAATAGCTACTCTGTCTCAGACAGCATCTGGTGTGTCACCGTTGGATGCACAAGCATAGATTACAACGCTAGGTGTTAAAGCGCGCAGTTGATACGAACAGGCCCACTGCCCCAACGCTAAAGGCTCTGGTGCCTACTGTCTGATTTGCATTTGATAGTCGACGATATAATACCTGGTTGCTGTGCGATTCAGTTTTGCGTGCGATTCAGGTTTGCATGCACTGCTGCAGTCACCAACGGCGGCGCGATGGCACTTCCTCTTTTTTTGCTGTCTGTTGATTCGAAGCGCTGTTTCTGATCGTCTCCGCTATGGGATTCACGCACACGTAGAAGGAAAACCTAGCATGGGGCCACTGGCAGCTAGGGACTTTGTGGTTCAGTGTGTGAAGGCGTGGAAATCGTATACACTTGCATTGTTGCTGTTCAAATATCTCTACGCAAGGGGATCGGAGGCTCTTTCCCAACAACAGCCTCGCTGCTTTAGCAACCCTGAGATACATGCAGTAAATGCATCAGGGGAGGCACTGTTGGCTGCGCAGGCAGCCGGGATAAAGGGCACCAAAGCGCGTGAAGCTGTGGCAAGTGCAGCAACGAAGCTCTTATGCCAAGTTTCTACAATCGACGAGGCCGCTGTTGTCATTTTTGGACGCTTTGTCAGCAAACCGTCATATCGTCAAGTTGACGCTGTGTACAGCAAGCAGTGTGCTAATAGCGCTGTAGAAAGCATCGATCTTGACGTAGTTCCTAAAAAAGTTCTCTGTTCAGTCCTAGAAGATTTGTGAAGACTAGAGTATCAATTGCGGCCTGAGCAAAAACTCATGAAGGGGCTATAACGGCCGCGCATCCTCTGCGTGTTACATGTGCACATACCATCAGGCACTATCTGGGTTGGTGGAAGTACTAAGGTCTCGAGTGTGGGGACTGATCACCCAGTTAAGGCATGATTGCTCCAAAGTTATCACTGAGGCAGCATTGATGACTTCTCTGAAAGTTGAAGAAGGCCATCAGCGGGACCCAACAGCATCTATAGAAGAGCGTCAAATATTGGGGAATGCCTACGAGCCCTTGAACGAAGACCCCGGTCTGCACAAGCAGCCGAAGGTTCAGCAGCGGTCAAAACATCCAGATGCGCATCAACTTAGCGTTGCGTCCCAATTATTTGGCAGGGAGGAGAGTTCGGTGACGGAGAGTGGGGCGTCGCGGGAACACCAACAACTCGAACAGGATCACCCCCTACAGCAGCAAGACGGGAAAGATAAGCAGCTGCATCAAGGCAATAATTACGATGCATACCTCGTACATCTGCTCTCTGCCGAGGCCCAGAAAACTTTGGCTGGGGAGACTTCAAGGCGGCTCCACCCTCAGGTTAAGCTTGCTCGTGAGCAGCCATTGGCCAGTGGCGGTCAAAACGAGATTCCTGTAACCACTCACCGGAACACGCTTCACAGCCTTGTCCTGGATGAACAAAAACACCAAACTGTCGGAGCTCTAGCTGTAGGAGAATTAGGGAGAGCAGCACTCAACATGGTAAGACCAACTGCAGAGGAAACAACTCCCGCGTCATTGCTTGTTGGGCAAGCAGCAGCAGCGAGGCTGCCAGCAGCAACAACGCAACTCCAGTGGATTCGTGAGGCCCTGATTTTGCTGCGAAGAATTGATGATCCACAGCATGTCCAACTGCAGCGCCGGAAAAAGGCAGCCATGACTGCAGGAGCATTCGTCGCTTCCCCTTCGCCAACCCAACCTGCAGGAAGCACATTTTTTCCAGAGGACGGAGCTGATGCTTCTGCGGCAGTCTGCTCAGGTTCATACAAATGCGTTTTGCCGCCTCCCTCTACCAGCAGCCGCTTGTTGTATGTGATGTGGATTGGAGTGGGTGGGGGCCCTTGGGGTGGACGATCAAATACGTGGTTTAACCATAGGAGGTATGCCTCAAGTGAAGAAAGCGACAAATCGCCAGTCATGAGCAAAGAAATCGCTTTAGATGCTCGCAAAGCTGGAAACTGGGATGCATTGCAAGTATCAATGAGCCAATAGACCTATCTAAATGGGAAAAATGCTCATGTATTGCCCCCAAGAAAAGAGCTGGTGATGCTTTCATGCCAAGCAGAATTCTTGTGTGCCAAGCGTCCTTCAGAAAGGCGCCCATCCAGATTGACACTCAACAATTCCCTTAAAGGCATTCACATGCGCCTTCAGGCAGTTATTGGAAGGGGTTGCTACAGCGCATGCACACGCAGCTTCTGAGATGATGGCTGGGGGCGTGGAATTGCGAGCCTTTCTTCGAGCGGTGGAGGCACTTGCAGCTGCAGAACGGTCTCTCACCGAAACGTGTTTCGGCGCCCCAGTAGGCACGTGCTGATACCTTCCGTGCACTACCTGTCTACAAATGGTTAGATGGCTTAGAAGGAGATCTTTGCTGGGTAGCTCAGCTCGAAATGCAACAGTTTTTTTCCAACTTCAGTAGCTTGGTAAGTGACTTCAATTCCTTAGCTGGAAGTATTTCTTGCTGTCTTTCTTGCCTTGCTTCCAGCTGACACAGCGGTGCAGGTAGCTCGACAGGTCTTGCTGAGGAAAAGTTTTGGCAAAGTTGTGTTCCTGCGCCCCACTCTACAGCAACTGCTTCTAGAAGACGACTGGAGTGGCAAGCGCCCACATATCATTACTGAAATATTGAATACTGGATATGCGTGTGGCGAGCCTCACGTCGATGCACGCGCTTGTCTTTGTCCTCCCCATCTGCCTTCAATTTCCTGCTGTGCAGAATGCTGCAGTGGTGGTTTTGCTTTTGCACTGGGCAAAGGAGTGGCCAGAATGTCTAGGCGCCGTTGCCCATCAATTGCGTTTGTATTGGTCATCTTCGCTTAGCGACTCAATCCAGTACGATTTGCCAACCAACGGCCAAAGCATAGAATGCATGACCATACAGCCACTGTGCCGTGGCTCCAATCCACATGCTCAAAAACACTTCGGGGCATCCTCTTCCTTCATTTCTCCAGTATTCGTTGTTCGCTGTTGTTGCCGCAAGCTCAGATGCGCTTCAAAGCAGTGGGACGTCATATGCGCGGCTTGTCGTGAAGGGCAACGCGCCCTTCATAGGCTACCACAAGTTGAACCGCCCTCACGTTTTAGCACTGGTAGAAGCACTCATGAAGAGCAGAAGCAGAACAAGGGGCTCGATGCTGCATCAGTTGCCGAAGAAAAGAAGGAATTCCCCAGCATAAGAGCAGTTGCGCCACCTTCAACCCAAACAGTAGTGTCAGGACAAGCAAGCTGTAATGCCAACCCAGCAGAGCCAGTCGTGCGCTGCGACTTTTGTCCCCTGAGAGGGGAAATGCTCGTGTTGTTGCTGCTGCAATTCCTCAAGAGATCCGAGAAACAGCTGGTAGTGTTCTGCAACAATGCACCAATCGCTGTCGAGTCCCGAAACCAGGTACTTTCCTTCACAAAAACAGTAGTTTGTCTCATGTACCACAGCAGAATACAGCTTTCGTGCGTTTATGTTTCTTGATCGTCTGAAGGAACAACGACTAAAAGCGCCCGCAGCAGTGACTGTCTTTGGTCTTTTTGAACGTCTGACGCAGGCGTTTGACACGGTTGTGTCGAATCCCCAAGTAGCGAAGTGCTTAGCTTGCACAGCAATCCCTTCAGGCAGCGTACTTACAGTAGAGGAAGCAGTGGCTGCTTACATGGACCTACAACTACGGCGTGCCGCAGCTGCAACGTTGCCGACGAAGGACGGCGGGACGCCAGATACAAGCATTTGGGAAGTGTGTCAGCATTCCCTTGCACCGTAACACGTGTGGCGTGGAGCAGCAGCTACGAGATCACCACATCTGCGCATGGTTCCAGGGCTATAAAACCTCTGCCTCGTTCTTTCAGGAGACTGTGGCCCGCCTATGTTCTAGACTGCATTTCCCAGAACGCTTCCTTTCGGCATACGCAAGATTGCTAGCCTGCAGGCTCTTGCCAGAGTGGGTCACCTGGGGACTTAGCGGCAGGCAAGGTCCCCTGGAGTGCGACAAGCTTGTTAGCCGTCTGGATCGAATCCCAATCCATGTACGGCTAGCACGTGCTCGCCGTGCGGCGGGGAACAATCATGCTGCATACATGGCCTTCTTCGAAAGCACTGACGCCCCAGAAAGCCGGCGGGAAGTGGGCTCTGTAGATGTCTTCTCGGGTGTAGCAGCAGCAGTTTGTGCCTTGGAGTTGAGAGTATGGGAGGCAATACAACATGCGTTCGAGGCCCGCTGCCCCGTTCCGCCCGAAGAGCAGTGGCGTGTTCGACAGGTTATATCGGACATTGCTGCGGCAAGAGAGACCTTGCTTCTATATACAAGACACGTAAGACAGAAAAAGAATTCTCTAGCTTCTAGAGCAGCGGCTGTTTCTTCCAACGTAACGGCCACAGAAGCTTCTCGTGCAGTGGACACTGCACAGGCTGGCGCAGGCCAGCAGCTGGAGCACCGTAGGGCCTTTTTGCATGATCGTCATGAAGTGGACTCAGAGCCCACATTCCGCTCAACCGTTTCAACAGGGCGTAGCAGTGACCGGTCAGGCAGGTTTGAGGCCTTGGTGCTCACGAAGACAGCCTGGGAGACGTATCTCCCTCTAGCGGCCCCTGAAGTGAGTCGCCTCCCACCTCAGCAAATGGGCTCCGATGTCCTCCCAGGCAGACTTACCAACCATTTGGTTAATGTTGGAGGGCTCAAGATCCCGAAAGAGCTGCATACGTACTTAGAGGTCAGTTTGTGCTATGGTCTACGAGGTGTCCTGACCACTATCAGTCTGGCGCGGGTGTTCTGCTCGTGTTACACGCTTGATCTTTAACCAACATCCCAAAGGGCTATTTCACTATTTTTAGTATTTTTGCGACAGGTTATGTTAGCCTCGCCAGCTAGAGATAGTGTGCTAAACAAGGTCTGAGTGATTTCTTCTGCTGGCAAAACGGTCGATGCAAACCATGTTGCTGCTTGCTAGGCTGATGGGAAGCAGAACATTTGAAAATTGTACTTCTCATGACGGTTTTTAAACAGCTCAATTGTCTATGCAGGCATTTGGCAGCATGTACAAGGCCCATTTTCCAGAGCGGCAGCTTCACTGGCTGTGGAAGGCTGGGCACGCAGACATGACTGTCATCCTTCGCCAGCAGCAGCATGAGGCTCAACCGCTCATTGGGACCTCTGGAGAACTGAAAACAGCAGACTTTCGCGTCTGCTTGATCACATCATTTGTACTGCTTCTCTTTAATGAGTACGACTTCTGCTGGCCTTAACAGCGAGATACCCCAGGGGTTGTTCTTCCCCAGGGAATTAAATTCGAATTCCATAATAATGATTAGTCAGGTAGAAACGCAAGAAGCATACAGTAGTGTGGAGAAGAAAATTGCCAACGGAAGTTCGGCATGTCGGCGTTACGAGGAATTCATGGATGTGCCACTGCTCTTGCAGCACTCCACTTATCTCAGTACAGACAGCAGCGCATTTAATTGGCATTTCCACAGAAGATACATTGTCTATCCTGGAAGGCCTTCAAGTAGAACCACAAGACCTTTTGGTATGCCTCTTAAAGCTCCCAGTCAGCTAAGCTTCGTCATTCAGGTTGAAGGGATCGGAAAGTATTAGCGTATGTTTTAGTCGAGCTGATGGGCAGGTAGACACCCATCGTTATTTCAGCATGGATCTTCTCTCTTCTTAGCGCAGGTCCTCAGGCGACGGCTTGTCATCGTTGTTCTGCTTCAATGCAGAGCTTGACATTAGGCGTCTCCCTTGTACAGTCAATCCTCTTACAGTAAATTGAAACACGTTCTTTCGTCGCTGTTATTCGAATTTCATGCCATGTCAAGAATTGTTTTCTATGTATGGAATCTGGTGGATGCACTCTGCATGGATTGTCGGACAGGCCGTAGGCTCCCCATCGAAGCGCTGTGAGCCACTGTCTCCGCGGAGTGTCAGGGGTCCACTGGATGCAGAAGAGAGAGCAAAGCTCGATGCAAAAGTCGTGAGGCTGTTCAAGCAGCACCGTCGGCTGACTCATCAGCAACTGATGCAGCTTCTGCAACGACCGGTTGAGAAACCTCCTACCGCAAGTGAACGCGTAGATTGTTGCGGCTTGAGGCCAGAAACCGTAAAGGCGTCTCTTGAAGGTTTAATGTCGAAAGAGTACATCACTAGAGACGAATCAGACCGGTATGTACTTGTGTCAAACGCAGCAGAAGCGTATTTGCTGCGCTTACCCGTGCGATAACGCAAGGCTTTCAATGCTGGCATGCGATGCAGCAACGTGTATCTGTATATCCCGTGAGGATTCTTCAAGAGCGAGTCTACGCCAGCCAACCGAGGATTAGATTTGCTTCGCCTCTGATTGTTCGTCAGCAATCAGCTCGCCGGAGCTAATTCGTGGCTGTTTAGTGCAGGCATGAAGCCTCAAAAAGTCGCCTCACGTAAGGTACCATTTTCTTACGCCCACTTGGAAGGAATTTATTCACCACGGCTCATTAGTGCAGCTATGGAACTTCAAGGGATTGCCTTACTTCGGCTTTCAGCTTGTCACGAATTTCGCAAGGGAACATAAGCATGTTACTTGGGGTGTGACAATTCACAGCCTTGGGGCTATCGGAGGCGAGTATAGATATGTAGTGCCAGCCCTGGTGAGCGTGCGTGCAACACATGCTTAAATGTACTTCTCATGCACTTACCAAATCAAGTCTCCGTGGTTACCAAGTGAATTGTGGCAAGCTGATTTGGTCGGGATGCGCACAAGCAATATTTTTCCTCGTTTGTATGAACAATAAAGTATCCTTGGTTTTCAAGTGAGTCGTGGCAAAGATGCTCGATCACGTTCGTCGTGGGGTTCGTCAAAAATGGAGCATGGCTGGAATTTCCAAGTGCAAGCCAGTGCGCCTCCCACAGGAGCGAGATACGCAAAGGCAAACACGAATGCGCAGCCCATGACCTAGTAAGAAACTACAGACCGCAACAGATTTACCTTTGATGGATGCCTTTGATTTTTCAGTTAAGCTATAATGAACCTTCACGGCTTTTGGTCCCGTGAGTAGGGCTTGACGATCGCTAGAGTTCAACCGTATGATTTGGACACTGCTAGGAACGGCTTATAGGGGAGGAAGCTCTGGAAGCTGTTTTATCCCAATCTCTTCAGTATAGTATCACACACAGGTAGAATGCGTAGTGAAGGGCAACCGTTAGGCTGGTTATTTACATGAAGACGTTATGTAGTCTAGGGCAGGAAAGGTCGGTGTCCCTGCAGGGCAAGTTCCAAGCACACAGCAGAGCGTAAAAGGAAGCAAATTGTGAAATTTCCAAAGTTTTATGCATTTGTTCTGCACTAGTTTGCATGGTATCGTTAAGGTGTCCCTAAGTCCGTCGCTTCGCTAGTTGCTAGCCATTTGATGAACTCCTGGGAGAGCTTGCACTGCTTCCCTCACTTGGCCTATTGTGATTTTACTCCTTTGCAAGACGCTTGTGACACGCAGCACTGGCTTACGTATATCAATGCAGCGCAGGAAGCTCCATTACCGTCACTGGGAATTGAGCTTCTTGTGCTTAGATCCCAATAAACGTCATTGGGATCGGTACGGCACAATTCGTCCGTACTGGCACGTAAGCAATTAGTCGATCTCAGAGAGAGTTTGTACGGTGTAGTTGTCTACAAGGAGAAGCGTGTTTTGACCCTAGTTGAACGAAAAGAGACGGAAGCCTTGAGGACAATAACTCTGCGAAGCTGTTCCATCAACTCTGTCCGCTTGAGACAGATACAAGAATTTCAACAACCATATCAGGTTAGTTGTGTGGATTAGACAGATGTAAAGGCGGCAATAAAAATAGCACGCCCTCAAATAACAAGGCATTGCAATGGGCCGGCAAGCCGGCGGTGCATTTAAACTTTATGAGTGAAGCAAAGCAGTTTGAAGTTCCTAAAGCTTCAAATAGGCTGTTGAGTACTAGCACTCCAATGTACGTAAGGAGCCCGCTTACCCCCAGTCGAATAATTCTTGCAGTTGCAGCATCGTACGATATTCTAAATGCACGCTCCTTCCCTAGGGTTCCAAAAATGCCAAAGGCAGGATAATGGGCACCTTGCAATAAACGCTCGTGTTCTGGTGGAATGTGATGTACTAGGCAGAGGTTTGGGGCTGAATTCTAAATTGGAAGTGCACAGGTGAATACGTAAAAGTGGTAAACGACGACGCACGAATCGGCAGCAGCAGTAGCAAAGATAAGCAGCACCAGCAGATGCAGATTGCCTTTATCACCTCCTTACTTTCTCTGCTTTTTCTCTGCACACCCGCTGCAATAGTGTGGGAACCCACAAAATGGTGACCGTCAAAAAGCTGCACGCGTCCCCTCCTATCTTTCGGCATCCGGAGGAATGCTACATAGGGTCCCACAGCTGGTGAGGAGAAGTGGCCGCTTGCCCTTAGCTGCAGCACTCTCTGCTGCAACTCCTGCACGCAACAGCAAGCCTGCGTGCGAGTTTCATCAACCCCTCTTCCTGAGTATGCACTATCGCCTTAGTCAATTGTTGAATGCTGGGTTGGCTTCCATTGGCCAATAGATGCGCATTCATTTCTGCTTGCGCCAACTTTTGACTCTGGTACATTCACCGCTACAGCTCCCTAAAAAGCACAGGTGCTTTTGTGCCGAGCTGCCTAAGAAAAGGATGAGCGAGCGCCGAAAATAGAGTAACCTCCAAACCAGCACACGAAAAATGTTAAAAGGTAATTACACGGGAAACAGGACTTACGCCTACATTCTTTGCTACCGCTGTTGTTCCCGATTGCATCTTGCTGAACTCAAATGATGAAATGGATTGGCTCGCTTGCTGACTAATGCTGCTTCTGAAGCATGAGGGTGTTGATAGTCGAGTTTTAGTGCCTAACCCAAAAAAGGAGTACAATATAAGGCAGCACCAACGCTCATCGTAGTCGCTCCCCTAGCAAGGCCATCGGGCAACCGACAAACCGGAGCTCAGCACCCCAAAATCTAGAAAAAGTGAAAGTGCTGTCTGAAAATACACCTGTAAAGGTATTTCCAGTGCTCTCTTCACACACTTCCGAGCTACTCCAGGCTATATGTGGTAGCCGTCCTTTTGCAGGTGGACTGTGCTGACAGCTAACAGCCCGGTACAATGTCGGGTGAGCTAATAATTTTCTCACCTACGCCACGGAAACCCCGCTATATTGTTATATTTTGCGATGGTCATCCTACTATTCGCTTCCCTGGCAGTAGTGACCATTGTGTGGTCAATACACAGCTTCATCTACTGCAACTGAACTCCATCAGGGAACGAAGTTGGCAAGTTTGCTGGATCTATCGGCAATGATATTATTGTCTGTCTCTGAATGAGAGATTATCAAAAAATCTGGCTGGTGGTAAACCCTAAGAAACCGAAGGAAATATCCGCCTATCCCCATTTAGGAATCGGAAGGCTTTGCAGGAAAAGAATTTGAAATCATTCGCATCCACTGTTGAGCTCGGCAACAATCACGGCCGTAAGAGTTAGAAGGGATAAGAGAGAAACTCAACTTGTAAAGGAAGCGGGAGTCATCGCAGGCAGGAGCAGATGGAGAGAACACAGCGCTTGACGCGGAAGGCGCCTAGAGAGTCCTCGCCAACGACGCTGTTGCATTTGAGTGTGAATTTGTACTTCATGAGCCACCAAGCGTACAATACAACTCTTTAGGACATCTAAAGAAAGCTCTCTCTCCGATGTGTCATTAATTTTAAAGTTGGTATGAACAGGTAAATGCCCACCACACCGCAGCAGGGCACATCATGTTCCCTCTCACCCTCCGGACGATATTGCTCCTTTTTCACAAAACAACGGGAGAAGGACTTGACGCCCTTTCCAGTGGTCGGCGTGGTGAGGGAGCATCCCCCTATTCCCTGTGTCACTGGGTTTGGCTGTCAAGACAAACGGCCCCTCGACATCAGGGAAGGCTCCTACTGAAGGAAGTGTTCAGTGTCTTGTGCCGCATGCTCACAATTTGCAATTTTGTTACGTTTCACTGCAACAGAATTGCTTCCGCAGATATGGGCAGTCCCCTAGCTTCCTGGATACAGAATCTGCGTGCTGTTGCCTGTTCCTGCAGCCGCTCACAATTCCGATATCGTTGGGCAGTAAATTTGAGTCGATCCCAATCTCTCTCTCTTCTTCCCTAGCTGGAATGGAGGTAATGCTTTGCCTTTCTTAAGGCGCAATTTTTCTTCAATTTCGGCGATTTCTTCGCATTCTTCGTCAAACGCCTTTTCACAGTCCCTCCAGTTTCAACCACCGGACAGTCCTGAAGAGGATCATTAACACAAAATTCCCAGGTTTCCGCTGGAATGTTGTTCATAGATGGTTTATACTGTTCGACCTCTAGCAAAATTATTTCCTTCTTTATCTCCTTCAGTTCTGCCACAGGCCATTGCCCAGTGTTAGCCTGGCCACGATATGCTCCAGCAATAAGTTACCATCTACTGTATATAGCAGTCACTGCACTGCCACTGATTTCAAGAATAAGATTGCCAGTATCAGCTGCACAATGTAGCTGTAGCCCTTTATTTGCATTTTGAAAACGGAACTACAACTACGCAAGGCGGCAGCCGGCATAAGGATTTTCACCGCAGAGATACCTCAAGAACAAAGCCTCATTTTGTGCTACCCGCACTTAAGCATTTGTTCTTGAGCTATCTTTGTGTTGAAACTCCCTTCGATCAGTAGGATTGGTTGTGTTCCATTAACCTTGTTCTAATCTCTTGCCGCTGAGACACAAATCAGCGCATGCGTATCCTTCAGGTGGAGTTTCCAACATTATCCTTGTGCCGGCCGGTGACTGCAACAAAATGCTGCCATATGTATGTGAAGGCAGCGCTGCTTCTCCTTGCATACATGTGGTGTTGGGGTTAATTAGCGGAGTCACGATGCTTTCTGCTAGCTAGAGCATTGTCAGAAGTGAACTGCTCTCGGATCCAGCGGCACAATAGCTACTGATGGTAAGGCTGAGCGTCGTCTCATTGTTTGGCAAAGGTACTACAGCAGAGCTCATAGAGGCCATCCAGAAGACCCCAAAACGACACGGCATTACGCAATTTTGCAGCAAAATGTGCGGAATAAAAGGCCTGCTTAAGAAATACAATACAGCAGTCTCTGGTACTCCTCGTTCAGCTGGTCGCCGGGTCCGTGTCACAAACTCCATAGCCCGTTGCCTCACTTTCAAGCCTCAAAAAGGCATGCCTATCCAATATAATCCTTTTTTAAAAGCAACATCCTTCTAAAAACCCGCCCAATTTGAGACCTGGTCTGTTGATCTGCACCACCTTTTCCATCTTCATGGCCTCCCATCCCTTGCGTCACAGCATTCTCTAGTAACTTGCATGATTGCTTCCGTTGCACTCTACTTCAAAGACAACCGCCTCCCGTTCCACATTTAGGACACAAAAGTGAGCTGAACCTCAATTAGTGCCACGGTAATAGGATGGTTGTCGTGCACTTCTATTCCCCCACTTCTCCAGCCATGTTTATTGCGTTGTTCCGTGCAGCAGCATATAAAGGCGCTGGGAACCACTGCACAAGGCACCCATTTCTTCATATTTCCACCCTTACACACTTCCTTTCTAACTACCAACCTTCCAGC